ATATATCCACTGCAATGCTGTGTGTGCGGCCATGACATTTGCTGGAAGGGACTACAGCAACTATGAAACGGTTAACCGGTGCCTGACACTGGATGTGCTGCTCTGTATGTAATTACAATAAGTGGGTGCCGTTTGTACACCGCGAACTGGGGCAGCGACTACGCGGGGCTGGTGAAAATGCGAATCAGTATGCCACAATTGCACAATTGCAACGCACTTGGTAAATGTAGTATGCCTGATATCCGAACCGTGGGTTGTGTTTGACCCTAGGTACTAACTATTCACTGCCCGTTATCTAATTCGCTAATCAGATGACTATCTAGCTGTCCTTTTCTCAACACAGCATTCAAGAAAAAAGCATATCAGCTCCTGCGAAAGATAGTTAAACCTACCTGCTGAATTTTTCCTCTACATCGAAGAAACTCAGTTTCTTATTAAAACAATTGTTAACGCGGGGTCCGTTAACACCGCGAGTGCTGCAGCTGTCAGGTTAAGTGGATTTAACACTAGGCGAGATGCAACAGTAACGTCGCAGAAGTAAAGACAGTTGAATAGCATCCCTGGTTACGGTTCCCGACAGTACGTCTTAGTATTTCCCAAATTTGGAGAGCTATATTTCACAAGCCAACCTTACGTGGATTTTAAATAAAAATATCGATGAAAGATAAACAAAATATATCAGTGACAAGATAGAGATTTACAGATCAATGAAGTGCATTGAACGCAATTACCTCGCATAGATTGTTCCACCATTCGTTCACAAGATATTGCATAAAGCACACTCTTGTGCTTCGGATACAATCTTCTCAAGCGACTGGATCCTCCATTCTCTTTCAATAAGCGCACTAGCTGGATCTCCACGTAGCACTTAGGAATACCGTTGCCCCATGGCATATTTCACGTTTGAAATGATGAGAATCCAAATACATTCTATATGGTTCGTGAAGGCGAATATGATGCGAGTCGCAAGTCTTCTTGATTAATAACGCTCCTCTTGGAACACACGTTCCAGAACCGGCCGGTGGCGGAGTGGTCTGCGCGTTTGCTTTGCAAACATAAGGTCACTGTTTGGAATCCACGTAGGTGTGGACGCCCTCGCGGCATACTCAGTCCGCGCGCGACTGGTGGTGACCGCTCGGCAGCACATCGCAGTTACGGCGCAAAACTGACACATTATTGTTTTATTACCGTATGCCATGGAGCGCTGTTGCATAAAGGCAGACATCTATCAGTAACAGGAGTGTCGTCAGCATCAAGCATTTCCTTGTCACAACTCCCCTTAGGACGACATATCCGGAAATTGCATCTGCGGTCGTTGCGCTGATAAAGTGATAATTTTGTCCACGAGTGCTCACTACCATACACTACGCACGTCTGTCATGGGCTGAATGTCTCCTTGTGGGAGCAAAACACAAATTGCAATCCATTCACTCAAGCTAAACGGTTTATCACCCTTCAGCTTCCAAGTTCATCAGCTGCAAAACGTACGACTTCTCATCCTCGAGCATATTCATCAATCCCGGTATAACATGTAGCTTTTTCATGGCAATGAAGCGATTCTCTAAGTACCGAGCTACTGTGCTGTCGCTCACCTCCGCACTGAACTCCACGTTCAATCCGATACAAAGACATTCTAAGGTTATCTTACGCTCAGCTTCCAACCATACCACCAGAAAACACGTGCAAACTCAGTTAGTGACTTTCAACTTGCACCACCACATTTTCCTTTTGGTTTGTTTAACTCTAACGTTTTAACACGACTTTCGCAAGTCATCAGCTTAACAATTAACACAGACGCAACCTGTTTCCAGTCATCGCCTTTTTCATAGTTGTCCCATGTGGGAGTTGGCCTGTTTGCACCTATTTGTCTAGGAGTTGACTGGATTGAGGCAGGAGGTAGCAAAGCATTAGGCACCGCGTGGTGCACTCCCAGGGTCAGAAACAATGCGTGGCACTCGTGCTCTACGTCAATCGAGCTGTGGGATACTCCGTAACCTTTTGTCTCCCATGGCTGTTTTGATGAAAGTGAGCCATGGATCTCCAACAACCTAAGAAGATGATTGTGAGACTGAGTTAGTCCGACCCCTAACCATTGGTACGTTTGGTATGAGTAGTCCTGATGCCACTTAGAAGATGCCACCCATCGTAACTCAGTAGATCACGGAGGTACGCAAACCATCGCATCATGTTAAATTCCAGTCGCATTGCGATGGGATTTCTTTCTCCGGAATGTCGTTGTCGTACTGCGTTGTATCAGAGACTTGCCTACGTTTACGAGAAATGTTTCCACTTTTGCGATATACTGCGATTTACTGATGCTAACAAGGGTTTTGTCAAAAATAATTCGCAATCCCTTCGACAGCTATGCATCTGAAGAATTCATTTCTCATAGCTCGGGTGACTGCCTGCGTGTAAGACACAATGTATGCGACACCAGAGCTTCTACTCTTATCGGTTCGAAACTCATGCCCTACTGTTCTTTCATTATACACATCAGCTAGAGGTGGGAAAACACCTCCGCTATTGTGCCACAATATATGAAGGAAATACATACATAAAATAATACAATGCACAAAGGAGAAGTAGATACAACATTTGCATGCCAGCTGAGCTACCAGCAACGGATACGCATCGTTCCGGTAAGCTACCAGCCAGCTACTAGGCAAAAAGAAAAATTATTATGTTTTACCCTACGAAATGTGATCGTAGATGGAGGGGGAGGCTAAAAGGATGGGGAGGGACAAAGAAACTCACAGCAGGAACGCCACTGAGGTCGGCTCCTTGCAATGTCAGCAAGTGTATCCAGCCAAACGTGTTCACCGTCTTTTGGACCCCAACCAGGGAGCCGTGACGCTCCAACCGAGGCCAGCACAGAAGTGATGAACTTCATTCCCCTGGACCAAGTCATCGTTTGGCCACCCCTCCTCTTCTTCCATCCACACCCCCGGCCCGCAAACAACGCACGTCGAGGGAGTCGGTGGGCTGGCATGCGTAACACGTGGCCGAGCCATTGGTGCCTGGTGCGTGAAATGACGCTGCTGAGCTGTTCAGTTCCTTTTCCTGTGTAAACAAGGCGTCGAACACGCTGCTTGCTCACGCGGTGTTCCCACCAGATGTGAGCCAAACTGCGAAGGCACCGACGGTCGAAAGTAACTAACCTCTTCATGTCCGCCAATATTAGGGGCCAGGTTTCGCAACCGTACAGTAAGGTCGAACGTACCGCTGTACTGTATACTCTACCTTCAGGGCGAGAGTAATGTCGCGCCGCCGCCATAGATGGCGAAGGTTAACAAAAGCAATTCGAGCTTGTGCTATACGGTTCGTGATCTCGTCTTTGATCGCAAGTGAGCTGATACAACTTCCCAGGTAGTTGAATTTCCGAACGACTTCTAGCTGATCCCCAATAAGGGTCAGGGCAGGAGGCGATCCCTGACAATCTTGGAGGAACGCTTTGCACTTCGATGGTGCAAAGCAAAGCCCGAAGTGGCTGACAACCAGTGCTTATCTGTCCGGCGCGGCTTGGCACGTCTGGCAGCTGTCACGGATGAAGGCAATGTGGCATGCATACTCCAAGTCAAGAAGTCGTTCTCCTGGGAGTAGCTCCACACGTTCCAAGTCATGTCCTGTAAATGCAACCTCCATTACTTCGTCAATAGCGAAGTTGAAAAGGAAAGGTGACAGCGAGCATTCTTGTCTCACACCGTTGGAGATAGTAAAGGGCGACGACAGCTTGCCGTAAGCCCTCACTCTGCCCGTGCTACGCGCATATAATGCTTGGATAATATTTACATATTTCTCGGGCACACCTTTCCTGAGTAAACAATTCCAAAGGGCACATCGATCAACCGAATCGAAGGCACCTTTTATGTCGAGGAACACGACTACGGTGGGCCGCCACTATGTGTGACGGTGCTCCAACGACTGTTCTCTACCAGCGAACGTTGTTGTCAGCAAACGGAAATGGCATTTCAAGCTGGGGACTATCACTTAGAACAATCAATTCAAGCAAGGCAACCAAAACTGAAGCACGTCACCGAGCTGGAGCAGACTCAATATTGTGTATCCAATAGTGATATGGGAACGCGTAATATTCCACATGTAAATAGACGATAACACAAGTGTTGCTGATTACCTGACAATCTGCTACTGATTTCATTGTTCTGAGCTACTTAAATCATATGCGCCGCTCTTTACTGCTGGGTAGCATTAACACCTAGCTGAGATCATTCCTTGAACCTGGAGTGCTGCGGAAATCTCTTTTCTCTTCGTGTGTGTCGCCCCTGGAACGACCTACCACATTCGGTGTGTGTCGTAACAACACAAAGCATGTTTCAGTACGGGTGGATAATGCACTCAGGCCCTTTCATGTGTTTGCAACCGAACTTTGAATCACGAGGTTATGATTTGAAATATTCCCCAGGAACACGCTCAGTGGAACAACGGTGTAACAAAGGCAATAGGCGGGCGATACCTCGGTGAGGATGCCAGTGTGCAGCGCACGCGCTCACTCATCCTGATTCGAATCGCTACATCCATCAAGCGTAGACCAATCGAAATTGGGCTCAGTGAGCATGCCGCCCCCCCCCCCGAAACGCACAGCGATCCACACGTCCTCACCGCCCCTCCGGTGTCAGTTGACACTCGACAACGGCATGCATGAGGGAGTTCACGTCAATATTCCCAACGATCAGTTCATTCGGACTCAGTCATGTGGGTGCTTATCAGTATACGGACAGCTCAGCGACGAGATTCTTTGATATCAGATAGATTATATAGTGATATTTGACGGAAGAACTCCTGGTTATTTGATAAGCTTAACAGCAAAACGCAGTAATTATTTCGACGCTTTATATTGCTCATTTGTGATTTTGGAGAGATAGATTATGTATGAATGCATCAGAGATCAATATTTAAATATTTGTATTTGGCACGCTGCCCTATTTCTGTTATCCAGCACGGTAACACCCTTCACCTTAGTTTTTGGGTACCATGGGACTTACTCCAAGTTTCGCTTGAGCACACCGATTATTTTCAAATGGTTATTCAAAAAGGCAGTGCGATGGTTTTTGCCTTCATGGTGCTGAAGAATAAGTGGAAAGAGACTTTGCAGAGTATATAAACTCACCAATCTACATGTGACTAATTTAGACTATGGGATAGCCCCAATGGATTCTGTGACTTTGCGCTCCCGAAGGCTTGCAGAGAGCTTAATCCATTCTTGCAAAATATTTCCAGCAAGTCGCAAATTACCACTGTAAATGATCCCATAATGTACGTAATATTGTGTAATCCTTTTGGTTTGGCGTGAGCAGGTAAATGGAAAGTACAGACTCCCCCCAAAAGAACTGAGTAATTCGAGCCATTCACATTTACTTCTCACCAATGTTTTATTCCACATGAAGTCCTTTGCCTTGATTAAAAATCAGGTACTAATATTCCCGACTAGGTAGATTACCAGAGCTTGTATCCGAAAAGCAGTTCATGCACTTGAGCTGAAAGCTTGCATCTCTGACGCTACAGTTACCCGACTGGAAATTAAGACAAAGTCGTCTTGCAGAAAATGTTGTCTTGCTTAAATAAAAGTGATGAGTACATTTTGGCCCAAGATAGATTATTTGTCAGATGGGTTCAAAAAAGCACATTCTCACCCCTCTGTTTTTTCATTGGAGGGCCAAAAAGGGAGCTTAGAAATATTTCCTAGGGTATCACAAATTTATTTTGTGGCTTCCAGGGGCAAAAGCTCGTAAAATATTTGGAACACCTTTATATGACCCCATATTTACTAAAAATGAAATCGGCGATATTCCGCCGCTGTGAAAACTTAGCAACCAGAAAGAGGGAATTGGGTATTTCCGCGCTGCAGTATTGCTCAAAGTATTGCCATAATATTTGTAAAGTCTAAAAAAGAAATTTGAGGTTTCCCCAACATGGATTGCTTACATGAGGACACGGTATCTCTATTCCCTAATTATTCTACACATTTTACATTGCTTTACTCTATATCCTACAATCGGTTACCATATCGTATATTTATTCCTTTCCCTCTCGATCACTGACATATCCTTGACGTTTCAAGGTCATTCATATTATTATGTTACTTTGACACTGCCCAAATAATCGCATGCTGCGCACGCTATACAATTTCTGCCCTCTTGCACCATGATTGCAAAACCTATTCGTAAGTCATGTACTGTATTTAATACGCCTTATAGAACCACGGTTAGAGGAAAATTCGTCTTATTCTTCGGCCCAGACCGTGCGTTAAGTCTAGGTTGATTTGTTCCTAGTTTCTAGTTTAGTTTTCGTACGACGTACTTGGTTTAAGCTTCGTATCGTTGGTGCATGATTTATCCTGCTTCCAACACATTTCATTGCCGTTAGTCATTTAACATTTTTGTACTGAATTTAGGAGCAGTAGCAGGTAAGCTGAATGTCGATAAAATATTCACTTTGTTAATATTCAGCGATACCAGCGTTACATCCCCCGAGTTATCGTTTACATTTGCGCCAACAACTGAAATCATGTGGATTAGATAAGTATGAAAATTATGGACAGAATACGTGGGGGGGGTCACGGGTAACGACCGAATCGTTTGATAGTCATTCCATTATATATCTCGGTATTCTACTTGCTTCGGTCCACATCGCCACGGCTAGCAGTGGTAATAATACAGTCCAACGTGCTATAGCGACCGCCTGTCTATTGTGACCTGTCTATTATGACCAGCTGAAAACATTCCCGATGTTCTCTCCTATCAGTAATGTCCGTAGACATGCACTTGCCTATGACAACCACCTGTCCAGGGCGACCATCTTTTGTTCGTCCCCTGTGTGCTCGCCTTAGACAATTTTGACTGTATATGGCGTTAGAGGTACTCAGCCTAATAAACGTTTCGAGCAATTATGTGTTGGAAAGTAATATCTCAAATTGAGAGGTGAATGCATTGCGATAATGGCGAGTTATTTACATTTTAACGCAGCTTAAATTCTGCTTTTTAAGCAATAACATGTTCCTCCACATTTTCAATAATGTATTACGATAGTGATTGCGCACGTGGATGCGATACTTTTAGTTGTTGATTTATGCTGTGCTTGTGAAGACAGTGATGCATTTTTAGATCCTTTGCATTTAGCAATAATGTGCAAGATCAGAAATTTCGTTGTACGTGCTCACCAAGGATTGATTGATCTTAGTTTTGACCAAGTTGTGCAGCTCCGCTGGTGTCACTTGCTGTTCCCACGCCTCGACTTCCAGGGAGGAGGGATATAAAAAGAGGTATCCTCTGAAATGGACCCATAAAGATGAATACATTAGGTTAGATTGTACAACAATCGCACTAGTGATGGTGAATATTTCGCTGTAGTCTATTTATGGATGACCTATTGAATTTAATTGGCTGTTTAACCCTGAGGTACATAAGAGAAGCGCACATCAGGTGATGATGATTTGTTGAAATGTATACTATCAAGCACCTTCCGATCGTTACCAAATGATGGTTTGAAGCAAACGGACAATATAACTGACCGTTTCCGGTAACCTATGAACCGTTGGGCTTGCTTCAAATTCTGTGCCCATCATTCCGTGTGTAAATAAAATATGGGCGCGCAATTTAATGTGTGGGACATATTTGTCTTGCATGCTTTAAAGGGTTAATAGGTTCATGGTATAGAGCTGCAAACACATTAAGCCAATCATGGATCAGAGCTAACCGATGTACACCACCATACTATTTGATAATTAACTTTCATTTTCGTTCCATTTGTCATAATTCAAAGGTAAATAACTTCAAGACCACAAACTCCCTTATTTAAAGCTATCTAACACTTAGCTTATGCACGGTGGAGCCATCAAAGCGGATTCATTGAACCACTCAGCGATTAAAACAGGTAATGTAATGTGGTACGGCATTTAACTATGAAGACACGAAATATCGAATATGCAAAGTATACATCTGGTAAAATTGTTATTCTACGCAGTCCCTGAACCGAAATAGTGAACCGCTGAGATGTCATCATACACGATTAGTGAGTTCAGCTTTTATAGGATCTTCAAGCACGCATATCACTAGTTCCCCAATACATAATTAATGGTGACGACAAGAAACTACCATGCGAGTTTGTACTGAACTGCGTTTTTATTGCGCATGTATATTTAAAGCAGTTAGTTTCCTTGAAAAATTTGTACAGCACGGAAAGAAGGCGAAGGCTGGTAGATGCGTGCATTTCGGATTGTCTCCTCAATACTATTAACAATAGGCGATATGCATAGATATAGTCAAAGTGGGTGCAACCAGACAAGCTTGAGAAGCAGAACGAATAACGGAATTTCACTCCTGCGTCCAGGGTAGCGTTAGGCTGACAAACAATTGTTTCTGAATGCACAGGGACGGTTTCATTCGGCTTATGGCAATAGCCTCAGCAAACCGAAGGAACAAGAGACTAGTGTGATGTAACACAATTTTGAACCCTGATCCTACCTCTCTCCGGTGACCTGAGACTAACAGATGTTTGCTTATTGAGGAAGCCGGTGGTCTACGCGAGCACGGAATTTGACGGCGGTGGAAAATCGGGACGACTTCACACTGAACCCATCTCGGCACATGCTCCTTTATTCAGGAAGTCATAGTCCTATCAGTTCTGCTTGTGTAACTGTTTCAGCAGTCACACACAAATTGCTATACCCATTGTGAGTTTACCCCAATGGGCTGTTCTTACTTCGTTGGAGGTTTGGGCAAATTTGTTTGTGACTGCAACACATTTACTATAAAGAACTTATAGGACTCTGACTTGCTAAACAAATCAGTATGCGTCGAGATGGCTTCAGCGTGAAGTTGCCCAGATTTCCCATCGCCGTCCAATTCCGTGCTAGCGTAGACCTTGGGCTTCCTCGGTAGGCAAACGCTTTTATATTTATTCTGATTGCAGTTGCTGGCGTATTAAGGAGCAACGCTAGCACAGTACTACGAAAACGATACGACCAACCACACAACCGTTCACAGAGTTGAAATACTTTGGCGTAAGGTCAACTTGATATTTCTTGAGATGTTGGTTTACTCGCTGGTTGAGCACTTAGATTGCGGACGTTTCGTCACCAATCGAGGTGATATCTTCAGTGCGTAATTTTCGTTGTAACTGTACTCGTAGCAGCAGTAGCGGTAATCGCTTTGATGGCAAGCGCAACAATTTATACGAATTGCGGATTCAAAGGTACGGAATTAACTTTCTACTAGTCAATTTTAAATCAATCCGTGCTCTGTGACATGGCCTGTAACTGTTGACCAAAAGTAAAAGAAATATTTTCTTGCCGCAGCCTTAATCATACATATTCCTGTACGATTTTATTGGTCCAAATATACAGGTAAACCGATGGTAAGCACTTTTGTTCTTAACCGCATGGATTATGATTTCTGGCGACACTTTACTACGCGGTGCCAAAGTATAAACTGTATGCTAAGAAAAAATATTTATCACATGAAATGGCAAGTGCGTTGTACACGCTTTCAGGGAAAAAACGTAATCTTTGTGGGTGAGCATTACAATCAATTTATTCTAACCCTTTTTAACGGAAGCGGGAATAGCTCCGCATTTATTCCCACCACTGACACACCCAGCAGAGACAGCCTATCTTCTTCCACTTTTCTGGTAGTTCGTCCACATGTCACGGTTAGCTCGATAACAGATAAAACCCAAGCTTGCCTCGGGACATCAGTCTTTTCCGCCCACCAGGTCTTAATAGCGCGAACAATGCCCTTACACCTGAGCATTCCACCGATGGGTTTCTTCCCACCACTCCTTTATTTAACTTCTTTGTCTGTCATTGCTGGTTCCCAATCCTTTGAAGTACTTACAGGAAACGTTTTTGTGCACGCTACACTTTCATTACGCAAGATCCATAAAGAAAAAGTTGTTTTTTGTAAGCATGGTTACTCAGCTGAGCACTCCACATGTAATCCCCGTCACCGAAACATTGTGCTCCCTTGATACATTGGATGCTACTTTAGATGTTCTTAACTACTATCTATTTCGAAAAGATCGAAGCACAAAGAAAGACGACGGGTGCATCGTATATATCCATCGGAACTTTAGAGCAGAGTTCATTGATGACCCACAGTTAAACAATGTCCCAGAATCTCTATGTCTATGGGTCGTTGTAGCCTCCTCTACAATACTTCGAGCTTGCATCTACAACCCTCCGAAAGCGACAGCCAAAGATGTCACAAGTATCTGCTCGGCTTTTGATTTCGCATCGGTGTTACCACACGGTCTAGAGATAATCGCTGCCGATTTCAATCTTTGCATTATACTTGGTCACCACAAACACCCTCATCATTGCACAGATATTTCTTATCGACTATCAGAGTTGGGGGTTGGATTAAGTCGGTTACCAGACCAACTAGGTCTGCCAACATACTGGATTTAATCTTCACCCTGGGGATTCCTGAAGCACAAACTGACATGTTAGACAACCTTCCGGGTAGTGACCACAAGATGCTACGCCATTCCTTCCACTTGGAAATGAATACCAAACTCGATTCACCTACCCAGCATACTATACGAAGGATTAACTGAGAGAACTTCGGAAAACAGATCCGGTCCTCCAATTGGGATGCTTTTTTCTCTCCACTAGCGCCCACATTGCAGTGGAACAGTTCTACTACCAGATCAATCGCACCATAACTGTACATGTCCCACATTATAAACGTGCCATTCTTTGTCTTAAGAATGTAGACGATTGTCTGAATGACTTGAAAACGAGAAAACTACTCAGGAAATTCAGAAAAACTAGAGAATTCACACTAGTATTCTAGCTGCACAACTATACCGCCTGCATTAAAGCACTCACAAACGAAACGGATTGAAAACGAGGAGGAGAATGCTTTGCAGATGACATGCAAACAAAAGGAACGAGTCAAATTAGTCCGTCGTAGGACTAACAATCGTATGTCTTTGCTTACAGAACTTATTGATGAGGACAGTCCCCACCTTAGCGACCCACCTGTTATTTGTGAAGCATTTAGCAAGTTTTCGCTGCTTCCATGAACGTAGAAACAGACCATATACCTTGCTTCCCGGAATTTACAACAAGCGGCAGAGATAATGAGATTTCTCTTTCGACCATCCAACAGGCTATGAAGCCCATCAAACCATCGCTCAAGTCAGACTCCGATGGCATCCCTCTTCAGTTATTAAACTTGGTGGACCTGGCATACCACTACTTTTGTTGAACATGCTCTTATTGATCTTAGAATTTAGCTACTTTTCGGATCATTGGAAAACATAGTTCATTGTCTCTCGTCCCAAAGGGGGTCCGAACAGCAGGTCACTAATTGTCACTAACTGTCATCCTCCCGTCATCGTTAGATTACTTGAATAATTAGTTAAAAGTGGAATCATGGACTTTATCCATCGTCATGGGCTACTTAACAAATCCTAGCATGAGTTCCTCGACAAACGTTCCTGTACAACGTGTAAGTTGCACTACTTGGATTACATCACAGAAGCCATTTATTCGAAATATGCTGTTATAATACCGTTCCTGGATATGCAAAAAGTATTCGACAGAGTGCCCCACAAGCGGCCAGTAAAAAGAATCGAGTCGTTTGGAATCATAGACCCACTATTTGGTTAGTTGACATCATACCTAAATAGGCGTTACCAGATAGTTACTCTGGGTAATCATAACTCCTCCCCACGTCCAATCACTAGTGGTGTCATCCAAGGGAGTGTACTTGGTCTTTCTCTTTTCCTACTTTATATTAACGATATCACGGTGTTCATAAAACACGACAGGCCATTTTTGTTCGCTGATGACATATTGTTTATAAATTCTGATGCGACGAACTCGATAGCGCAATGTTTTTTGTTCAAAAAGATCTCGATTCACTTCAGAAATTGCGCAACACTTGGATGCTAAATTTCTTAGCTAGTAAATTATGCTTTATGTCACACAGATGTTTAATCCCTGAAGAGTCTGTTAAAATGAACAATGAAGGTATCTTTGTGAAACTATCCAATTGTGATCTAGGCATACGATACTCTTCAAACTTTAATTTCTCAGAGCAAGCTGAGTACCAAATAACCCGGGCCGAACGATCTGTGGCCAACATAAGCCATAACATTTATACAACCTCTGTCAGACTCGAACTTTTTAAAATACTTACATTTCCTGTCTTTGAATAACGCAGCATCATCTACGGGAAAATGCCAATGGGTGACAGGAAAGCTTTAGAAAACCTGCAAAGATCATACACTAAGCAATTGTTCAGTAAATCAGCCACCTTGA